TTAAAAAAGGAGGAAATTTCTTGAGAAATATGGTGCTGAATTGCCATGTTGTAATTTCCAATATAGCAATGAATATTTGCCAACCATCTCACATATGAATAAGGAACGTGTAGCGCCAGTGTCGAGGTTCTGACGACGAATGATGATAATCATGATCACTTTTTAAATTTATAGCGTAAAAACCCCCAACATCTATTGCAGCATTTTTTCAATTACAGCACATCAAAACCCTACCCAGGCTGGTTTAAATCCAGTGTTTCAAAATTCTCCTAGATTTGGTTCTAATGCAATTCATTTAGAACAAATTCAAGAAGAGGTTAAAACAATACCTTTCCGAAGGGCAATAGGAACAACCCAATTTTGCTTCAATTTTGACAGGAGAAGGATAGAGATGACAGGACAAAAACAAAGATCAATGTTACTTAGATAAATAGCAGGCAGGAAGTTGTGGAGAGCCATCATTGCTTATGTATGAAGGAACATGCTATATGAACTACGAAAAAAGCATATAGATAAAACATTAGAGACACAAAATTGTTAATCAATGTTTTTAATTTGTAAAAAATAAAGGAAGATAGATTTAATTTTGCAAAGCCATCATTGAAAATTCAATGCTATATGAACGAATTTAATCGTCATATAAAGACAGGACAAATATAAAGATATAATGTCGCAATTAGAGCAACTGCAGGCAGGATGTTGTGGAGAGCCATCATTGCTCACGTAAATCCAAGGAACAATGGTATTAATAAAAGAAAATGCATATAGATATTTCCCAGGACAAGGAGAACGTCTTCAACAAAAATTTTAAATGAATGTTCCAAAAGAGCAAGAGAACTCAAAAATTTTGGAGAGCTATGATTGATTTAGTTATGGCACAAGGACATCAGCATATAGAATTATAATGTGAAGTCGCATACGGATTTTATTTGATGAAAATTTGTCATTTTGAAAAATATAAAGTCACTGTCATTCGCAAGAAAGGTCTGTTTTTGTATTTACCAAGAACTCGAATTGACGGATAAAATTTTTAGCAAAAGTTGAAAAAATTTCTCCATCCTCCTGAGTTCTGGGTTTGGAGTAAAAAAATAAGCGTCTCGAATTAATGAAAATGGAAATAACGAGTTCGAATTTCTGTCGAATCCCTTTACGATTTAAGTTTTCAAAAAGAGGCATGAAGAATTTTTTCTCCTCCCAGACCGGGTTTAAGCCTTGGAAAAATAAATTTACCGCAGAAAAAAATGGAATATAGATTGGGAAAAAGATTTTTTGTCAGTCATGTATCGAAAGATTACATGAAAAACTATTTAATATCACGCATGACAATGACACAAAAAGGAAATTGACTGATCACTAACCAGAGACTAAAATCTGATATTTCTGAGATGAGGTATATATATCATAGATTATTTAAATTATTCGGACTATTGAGGAGTCAATATTGAATAATTATACCTGATTTCAAAAATGAATCAACCATTTAGGCAGTACCATACTTGGACATCATTACCAGAGTCAAAGAGGTGGCCTTTAACATCCCTCAGGCTCAGACGGATGAACTGAGATGGAAAGTGAGACAGACCTTCTTTATTTAGATTCCAGGTATAACATAACAAATGAATTTTGGAGATTTGGCGATTGGATAGGCAGTTATCGCAGCCAACCAGATGGTGAGCTTCGAAAATTAAATGTGAATTTGTTCACCAAGGCTGAATTCGGAGGAAAACTCTCAGTATAATAGTCAGAGACAGATTGGCCTCTGATTCATATTATAAAAAGAACGGATTTATATTCCAATAGATAATCTGATGGAGATGTTGACTTTCTGTACACAAACAACACACTTCGGAATGGGATTACACATATATCGACAGGATGAGGGCTTAGCAATGGGCTCGCCATTATCACCAGCAATGGCGAATATATAAATGGAATACTTTGAGGAAATGGCATTTGAGTCTATATCTCTAAAGCCAACTATATGGTTAAGGTACGTAGATGACACCTTCATACTCTGGCCACACCAGGAAAATGTTCAGGTTCTACTGGACCATGTGAACTCAATAAGACCTTCAATACAGTTCACAATGGAGAAAGAGAGGAACAACTCACTCCCATCCCTGGATGTTCTAATATCGCGAACATAGCATGGGATTAAGACGTCCGTATACCATAAACCGACATTCACTGGACAGTACCTCAATTTCAACTCCCTCATCCATACAGCGTAAAGAAAGGGATCGTCCGATGCTTACAACACCGAGCAAAAGTCATAAGTGGAGACCCAGAGACGTTAGATAAAGAATTGGTCAGTATAAGTAGTACCCTACAACTATCCTGGGTACATGGCAGCAGCCCCCAAAAACTGGGATAGGCGGGTACAAGAGGAGGAGGAGAACAACACTCAGAAAACAGTCTGCCTGCCTTAAGTGAAGGGGTTATCAGAGAAATTACAAAGAATCTGCGGTCCATATAACATCTGGACGACCTTCAAAAGCTTGACAACACCTCGCTGATATCTCTCTCGAGTGAGACCCTCCATAGAGGAGAACATGACTAAAGATTGTGTGTACGCTATCCCGTGCAGCTGCGGAAAGGAATATAAAGGAGAGACAGGCTTCCCCCTCAAGGTAAGGCTTCAAGAACACCCTGTAACACGAGGGGAAGTAGAAAAATCAGGCGTGGCTGACCAGAGAGAGAAGGGAGATCACCGCCCCCTGTGGGATCATGTTGAGATCATAGACAAGGAACACCATTGGAAAATTCGTAAACTTAAGGAATCAGCACATATGCTAGGCCACAAAAATCTCCTGAGCCGACCAAGCATAGAAATAAATACAATATGGGAACCAGTAATAAGGAGTGCCAGAGAAAAGCAATGATAACAACAAAGTTGCAATATGAGCTCTGGTAAAAACATGCAATGATAACAGCAAAAATTGCAATATGAGCACTGGTAAAAATGGTTGCTGAAGACATTAGGTTTATAATACCCAGAAATTCATACCCAGATGTCCTCAAGGACACATGGCACAGTGGATAAAGGCGTTGGTTAGATCCAGTGACAGGACCCAAAGAGGGTGAGTTCAATACCCGAACTTTCAGAAACTTTCAAATTAACAGGAGATAACTGATAACTGACATCCATCAAACATGGCACGTGGAACTAGAACAGTCTAAAGGGTTCGACATTCCAACCACCTGAAGACGGCCGAAACGTTGTGATAAATATGGCGAAAAAGATGAGGACAATAGTCCGAATAATGTAAATAATGACTGATCCCTCCTGATGTTTCTCTCTCTCTCTCTCTCTCTCTCTCTCTCTCTCTGCATTCCCTAAAATCCGATATCATTCTCGTATTTAACATTCATGATAATATCTCAGGTCCTTGTCTGACATTTGAATATCAGACATGATGTCCAACTCATTCAGAAATATCTAAACTCTCAGCTATGTACAACGATAACAAATCAACCTGAGGGATATTCAAATGGATTGGCGCTACAGAATCACAATGTACTATACCAAATAAGCGAAACCACATCACTTGAGGACTTCCAATCACAGCAGCAGCTAAAATGGATATCACATGTAAATCAAAGTGAAAATAATGACATAATCAAGATATTAACATTCCACACCACTTTAAATAAAAGGCTAGGAAGGAAATCAACACCACTACAATGATTGATTTGTTTTTTTGTTTTTTGTTTGTTTTTTTTGTTTTTTGTTTTTTTTTTTTTTTTACAGGTTATCAATTCTTTGTGGGTTATTGGAAGGCGAAAAATACTTCGGATTGAAAGAGGTTGCTTAAAGTACCCATTCTTACCTAGTGGTCCCATTGCCCCATCTATGTACCGGCCAGGATCTATATGGCTTAACGGGATTTGATCGTAAGCTCTATAAGTAAAAGTAGACTCCAGAATCCTGTTTTTTTTTCTGGAAAACCTCTTACAGAGGTTTTCTTTAAATAAATTTCAACCGTTAAAAATGCTATATTTCCCCTATCAGAAATATCGCTAATTTCACGATTACCGTTACCTTGTGTATTGTTCTTACTTTGCAGATGAATGCCATCTATCCATTTTTGTAGTATTTTTGTGTCTTTTTTACTCAGAATCTTATTATTTTTACCCGATCTTACGCTCTGATATGGGTCCGTAAGTGATTCTTAAGGCAAGCTTCAATTTAACAATCTCTATTACACACGTGACAAACATAAATTTTGTCTGCGTTACCTATGTTAGAAACATACCTGTCTCTGTGATGTTTGAGTCAGCAATAGACTTACAAACTGTTAGCATATTTATCTATTTACACACTATATAAATGTTTTTTTTTGGTGTTATATACTTTTTCTGCCTTGTGCCATAAAACAAAATATACGCATTTTGGGTATTTATTCTGATCAAATAGTCCACTATCTATAGATGTGACACATGGTCTATATTATATAGGTAAATTAGCTTGAAAAAAATTTTTTGGGACAAGAACAAAAAATGATTTTACTCCCCCCGCAACCGTCGGTTACAAATGGCCTTTGCGAGTACCGATCCCGCCGTCTAATATGCAATGAAAGGGCGCGGCCTCGGGCAGATGTTCCCCAGGGTTGGGCACCTCTTCAGAATAATTATCTCAGTTGCCCCTTTAACAGAGAAGCCCCTGCACGCACTCTGTCCAAGGACAGAGACGCAAATGAGAAAGTATAAGAGTAATTTACACAAGCCACGCATAGTAAATCCCCATAACCGTAGCCTTTGTGCACCTGCGCATTTTTTAAATCAATATATATAGATTATAAATTGACGTACTAAGCATTCTATTTAGTCAAACCATGACTTTCACGTCTCTTTCAAACAAACCAGGATTCCTGACTCTTTCTTTTAAATTTTTTTAGTCGAGAAAACAGCCAATATGACGCTGAGACATTGATTATTGCCGCTAGACGTCTTCTTCAACAGCATTCTTTACAGACAGACCTCCGCCATTTTGTTTTGACGCTGTTGTGAATTAATAAGGTGGAAGAAGGTTACTGAAACCTTAGCACAATTTGTGGTGATATCGGTGACGAAGGAGGCCTGGAAATCGTGAAAGGCATGCAGCCTGAAGACTTTGAAAAAAAATTTATTCAAATCAAAGAAAAGAAAGAAATGGAAAAGCATATGGAAGATGGTAAAAAAGTTAAGAGAATGAACAGTGAAAACGTTAGGTAAGTTAGGAAAAATAGCACCATTCGAGTTTACATTCAGAATCGCCTATGGGCATTGCTTCAGATATTGTATTAGCAGCCGAAAGCTCTTAGGTTGTAATTCATTGCGTATCGCGCTGAGGTGGATATTTACAATGTAGACCATAATTTTGCATTATGATAAGAATGATGGACGAAATGAACTATCGCTGTGAAGAAGGCGCTCATATAATAATTAAACCCTTAATTAGCATGAGTCAAATAACGGAAGCCTTAATAATAATAAAGAGAAAGCAAACACTTAATAATATAAACTACGAACAGGATTAATATTATGAATAATTGACTGTACATTCGGAAAATAGGACATCCCCATAACTCTAGGTACATACACACAACCTATACATCCAGTTAAAAAGTAAAAATAAATTCAACCTTGGTAAAGGTTAAAAGTATAGCCGAAAGCGCTCGGAGTTATAGAACATTTGGACAATTTCTATACTCTTTGTGTCCCCAAAAAATGTTCGAACACAAGAAAAATTAAATAAAAAGCATGATCGTTGTACCTTGTCTACCGCCTTTAATGAAACATATAAATGAAGGGTTGCATTTACCTATTTAAATACACATATATAGGGTTATGTATATATATATATATATATATATAAATGAAAATGGAGTCAACACTTAAAGGACAGTTGTTTCATGTTAGACACAATCGTCAAGCCACGATTGGTTCTAGAAATGAAACAGATTGTCACCTTTAATATTGACATCATATATTTAATTTTATATTTACACACTTTTATCTTTGATCATTGAGAACTTTATCAAACATAGATATTAACACACATTTAAGACTATATTTCTTCATAATATATATATATATATATATATATATATATATATATATGTATAATATAATTTAATAGATATATATATATATATATATATATATAATACACACATAAAGATCAATATATATACATATATATTGTTTTGTATGGATCCATAAAACTGAATATGTTAGCTCTATCACTGATATTGAACTTTCCATTAAGTGCTGTACAAAAAATAAACACACATATATATATATATATATATCATATGATTTAAATACATATATATATATATACACACACATGATCAATATATATATATATATATATATATATATATATATTTAAACAAAGAAGAATTTTCAATATTCTTCATCATGACCTGTCATCGCGTCAACTAGCTAGGAACACAAAGATTTTTTTTATATATATTTTCCTAAATTTTTTTCGTCTTTACCTATATTTTTTAATCGTTAAAACCCTTTATGGTCATGTTTTCAATGTTTTTCGAATGTTAAAATATGTTGAGAAAGGTATTAAGCCACCTCCTCTCTCCCTCAACTATGGGTTAATTAGTAGAACTTGTATCGCTAAAAAATATTATTATCCGCTACCTAAAAAGATAAAATTGTATACAAGATATTTAGATTTCGCCATTAAATAATCCATACAGGTCGATACGTCGCAATATTAAATGCAGCGTGAAAATTTGATCCTCTGTTGTTTTAATTTTGTTTGTTCTTTGGGGTATTTTTTTTTTATATATATATATATATATATATATATATATATATATATATATATATAAAAGTGAACATTGAAATCAACACTTAGAGGCGACAGGTTGTTTCATATTGGACGCAATCGTCAGGCTACGAATGCTGTTATTTTTTCTTTCTATTTATATACACGGGTCAGGTGCATTGTATTAATCTATTCAAAATGGTTATTTTACCGGAAGTCGTTTATTTGGTTATTTATTTATTTATTTGGGTTAAATTATTTTGATTGTCATTATTTATTTTTTATTCTTTATTTTTATTTATTATCCTATATATATATATATATATATATATATATATATATATATATATATTATCGTTATCTGCCCTGTTCTTAATTCCTGTTCTTTTATTGCTATATCTCCTTAATGTTTTTTCTCGTATTCCCTCACACTCAGTATCACTTGCGTCTTAATGGCTTTATTGCCTTGCTCGGAATCTAAAGATTTAAAAAGTACATTTTTAGTCAATAGAAAAAGCTTCCTTTCTTTCCAAGATTTAAAAAAAAAAATTAGATATAATTTAATTCAGTAAGGTCTTCTCAAACTAAACATGACACCCTTCTGTTAAAATTCGCAACAAACCCCGTTTAGTAAAAGTGTGAAATTTAGGCCATGAAGTGGTTAAATCTTAATTCTGAACCGGAAATCTAAGCTGGAAGATAGAGAAACAGAGAAAGAGATTAAGATAGAGAGTGGCGAGACATTTTCCTTGGTGCAAATGGGACCGTCTGGCTTTCTTCTCTCCTAAAGTTTATGTTTTTGAATCTATCGAAAGTCTGTCATGCAGACGAAAACAAATTTGGAGAAATGGTTTTATCTACCCCTTAAGCAATTAAGAAAACATATAATTAACGAGGAGAGAGACAGGCGGGGATTATATTTTCAGTGACGAAAACGAATTGGGAAATTTAAACAGAGAACGAACTCACTGTGAAGGTCGAAATTATAAAGATCGATCCAGTCATTGACAAGCGGGTGATCTGGTGTATATTTTCGCTAGACAGAAAACAGCCCGAGGGAGATTTAGGCAAAAACTATCATTAACGAGAAGAGTGAAAAACGAGGCTTATATTTTTGTTTACGAAAACGAATTAAGAAATGTAAAGAAACTGATCTGATTTATGTTTCAATAGACATAAATAAGAATAAAATGGAGAAATAATATTATCTTTTCCTCAAGAGAATTAACATTAATACTTAGAATAAACTACGCCCTTTCGCGTTCACAAAGATAGTTATGTCTGTCCTGGGAGGTAGGCTGTGGTGGTTTTCTGAAAAGGAAGAGGGAGGATTTTGTGACGTCTCTGTGGAGTGGTGTTACGAGATGTGAAGTAAAGTAGGTTGGAGTTTAGGGGTGGCGCAATCCCTATAATTATTCCTGAGAAGTTGGATAATTCTCTAAGTTTGGAGAGTTGAGATCTCCCCCTTCTCGAGTTCCAGTGAACTTTGAATCCAGAATTATTAGGTAAAGCACAGTGTCAGTATAGGTAGTGATGCAGAAGGGTTAATTTTTGTTGAACAAAAGAGCTATATAAACCAAATGAAGATTAACCCCATGAATCTTTCGTTTTATATTTTTTTTAATTTTTTTTTAGTTGTGAAGATATTTCTTCCTTAATATAGCACTCGACAAAGCTTGAACCAGCGTTGCTATTATTACGACATTCGATCTTCCACTGCTCTAAGATCAGGAACACAATGTGGGCAGTGTTGGTGTGGATCGAAGTGGCCAGCGTCCAACAGCTTGAACCAGCGTCAGTCTTGACCATCGCGAAGTTAGCCCTGTGGTTCAAACGTCGGCCTAAGACCCTGGAAACCAGACCACTAAGACGATAAAAGGGTTTGTTAAAATAAAATGGTTTATAATATAATGGAGTAACATATTGAAGAAGGTAATTTTTTGTCGAACAATCACGTGGTCAAGATAAACACTCAGTTGTGGAGCAAGCTGAGTGAAAAACTAATTCAACATTGAGAAAGAGTTATTTATGGTGCAATGGAGCATCTCATTATGCTAAAGTGGGATAGTTCATTGCTTGGGCTGTGATTGGCTGCTGGTACCTGAGTGGAAGTATTTCTATATAAATAACAGCTTGATTTCTCAGTTAGTTTGCAGGGTTTGTATTAAGTTACAACCTGCTTTATTTTTGTCTGCCAGCTGGACGCTAGCTGGGACTCTTACGCCGGTAAGTGTTTATTGTATTGTTATTCTGTTATCTTAAATCATTTGGAGGGAATCCCTATGATCGTTCTGATTTTAGTGATACGAGGTTTACTAATTAACCCATAGCTGTGGGGAGAACAGTTGGATTTATACCTTTCCCAAGAATAACATGTGTTGTAAACTTCTATGTGAGGGTGGTGTAATGGATAATGGCTTGGAATCGTTAATCGAAAACCAGAGCTCCAATTCCCGATGTTTTTCTTATAATTTGCACAAAAGTATACTTTGGAAAGGTATGAATCCACTACTTCTTCCCCTAGCTAAGGATTAATTAGTAGAACTTGTATAACTAAAGTATTCAGTCAGTTATGTGCCATGAGTGATACACGCTTAGGTGATCATATATCTTTTGATATATGACTGACGAGGCAGTTTTTATCTCGCAATAGTTCACCGTTTCTTTCTGCGGTAGAATAGTTGCCATCCAAGGCTATAGAACCCGGTCTGTCCTGCTATTTAACCATAGCTGGGGGCGGGGAAGAAGAAGCGGATTCATACCTTTCCCAAGGGTAGTAGTAGCACGTAAGTGAATGTAATGGATCTGACTAGAATTCGAACCCGGCTCTCCGATTTCTCAGTGCAAGCCGCTATCCATTACTACACCGTCGTTTCCTCACGGAAATGTTTTGCTGCTATTTTTTTTCTAATATGAATATTTATTTCATTTTTTTACATTTTTAATATTTATTTATTATTTATTTTTAATATTTTTATTTTACGATAACAAGTTTTGATCCATTATACCACCTTGGATAATTTCAAAACATTTATTCGTAAAATCATTCAGTTATGTGCCATGCGTAACACACCCTTAGGCGATCATGTATCTTTCGATACATAACTATTAATAATAATTAGTTTGCCATTTCTTTCTGCGGTAGTCCAGTTGCCATCCAAGGCAATAGGACCCGGTTGTGTTGCTATTTACCCATAGGTGGGGGGAGAAGAAGAAGATTCACACTTATCTCAAGGGTTTCTGGCTTTAAATACCCTGCAGCTGTAGGAATCGAATCAATCAATCAATCAAATACTGATTAGCTACACAGGTATGTCTTTTAGATTTATTTGCATTCTCTGGAATAGAACTGTATAGAAAATATCGTGCTCACAAAATGAGGGATCAGTTT